AGGCACTGAGCCTTCGCCTTCTGCTCTAAGTCTTGTAGCTCAGAAGCCTCATCCCTGCCCAGCGCAGAGCCTCTCCCAGAGGGTTGGGGAAAGCCGTAGCCTGACACTCTGACCTTTGATCCTGTCAGATGTGTCTTGTCTCCTGACTCTGATCTTATGCGAGAGTAAAACCATTATTCTAGTGTTTAAAATCTCTTCTGTAACTATAAAACTATTTCAGAATTTCAGACTTACAGAAAAGTTATAGACACAGAGTTCCACTTGCAATGACGCTGGCCTGTCTCAGAGAAAATACCCGTGACCCCATGGTTACATTGTTTACCATGAAGCTTACACAGCACATGCCTTCTTACCTCCCATCCTTACTGAGTCCATCCTGGGTGTGTGTCCACTGTCCATCTTCATGTCCTCACCATGTCCACTGTCCATCTTCATATCACTTTACCCAGTGTCCATCCCCATGTCCTCACCATGTCCAGTGTCCATCCTCATGTCCTCACCATGTCCAGTGTCCATCCTCATGTCCTCACCATGTCCAGTGTCCATCCCCATGTCCTCACCATGTCCAGTGTCCATCCCCATGTCCTCACCATGTCCAGTGTCCATCCCCATGTCCTCACCATCCCCAGTGTCCATCCCCATGTCCTCACCATGTCCAGTGTCCATCCCCATGTCCTCACCATCCCCAGTGTCCATCCCCATGTCCTCACCATGTCCAGTGTCCATCCTCATGTCCTCACCATCCCCAGTGTCCATCCCCATGTCCTCACCATGTCCAGTGTCCATCCCCATGTCCTCACCATGTCCAGTGTCCATCCTCATGTCCTCACCATGTCCAGTGTCCATCCTCATGTCCTCACCATGTCCAGTGTCCATCCCCATGTCCTCACCATCCCCAGTGTCCATCCCCATGTCCTCACCATCCCCAGTGTCCATCCTCATGTCCTCACCATGCCTAGTGTCCATCCCCATGTCCTCACCATGTCCAGTGTCCATCCTCATGTCCTCACCACGTCCAGTGTCCATCCTCACGTCTTTACAGTGTCCATCACACATCTTCATGTCCTCACTGTGTCCAGTGTCCATCTTCATGACTCTACTGTGTCCTCACATCCTCGCCATGTCCAATATCCACCGCAAACACCTGGAATTGAGCAATCCTCAGGCCAGAGTTGGAGGCCTCCTTGGATTCCTCATGCCGTGAAAGTTTCTCAGACTTTTTCTGGTTTTTGATTACCTGGCCGGGTTTGTTCCTTCCCTTTCCTCTCACTCCCTTTCCCCCTTCCTGCCTCACTCCCTCTGCTCTTGTCTTCCTTCCTTCTGACCCCCTCCCTCCTCTCTTTCTTTCTTTCAACCACATCATTAAGATCGACTCTTGTTCCTGGTGCTACAGCAGGCAGAACACACAGGCAGCTCCTGTGAGTTCTTAGGAGTACCTGGAGGGCCGGGCCTCCTCTCTTGCTGCAATACCACGAGTCATGCATCACCTGCAAAGAGCTGAAATCTGCCCCAAAGCAGAGAAAGAAGGAAGCATTATCATAGCCCTGCACACTCCTCTGTTGAAGATGCTTCTCCATTTTGGGTCTAATCTTACTTCTATCTCCCTCCAGGTTTCCCTTGCACACCTGCAAGAGCAGGGTCACAGCTGTCCCCCTACATGGAGGGATTCCTACAGCATGCCCTGAGGGCATTTTGCACCACACTGTCCCATGTGACTCAGTAGCTCAAACTGTTTATACACTGTACCAAGAGAGCTCACAACCAGAAGAGGTTCTGGGTGCCCATGGCTGGTTTTCTTCTTTGTACTCTACAGTGTCCATTTCTTTTTCATTATTTTTGTTTTCTTTCCTGATCTAGTTTTTTTTTTTCTTATCTGGTTTTTTGTTGTTGTTGTTTTGTTTTGTTTTGTTTTTCTTTTTTTTTTTTTTGGATAGGCTATACATGAGGAGGGACAGAGACATGACTGTCAGAGTCACCAAAACCTATTGTGATGGTAACAAATAGCACCCACCAGAGTTCACCAGGGCTAAAGCTTTGGGGAATAAGAAAGGCATCCACTCCTGTGCAAAATGTAAGGAGGACCAGTAACTCAGAAACCCAGATAAATCACCATTTAGTGTAATCTTTGAGAATAAAATGTGTTTTAAAGTTAAAGTCAAGTTCCTAATGAATACATTATCAAAACTATCTTTTCAAGATTTATTTGTTTTTAATATGTATACGTGTGAGTGCCTGCATGTATGTATGTATAACTTGTGTGGGTCTGGGACCCATGGAGACCAGGAAAGGGCCTAGGATTTCCTGGAACCAGAGTTACAAATAGTTGTTAGCCACCATGTGGATTCTGGAAACTGAACTCAGGTCTTTTGCAAGAGCAGTACATGCTCATCACCACCAAGGCATCTTTCCAGCTCCTCAATATTGAAATTTTAAAGAAAGACAGTGTTTATTCTTTGTGACACAGCATGATTGACAACAGACAGTCATTCTCCAATTAGGCTAAGGTCAGGCCACAATGACTATGTGTGATGGTTAATCTTGTTAATTTGATGAGATTTGGAATCACCGGGGAGACACTTCGGTGTGTGTTTGTGATGGAATTTCCAGAGAGCTTTAACTGAGTGGTGTGGACCTACTCTGGATGTAGGCAGCTTCATCTCATGGGCTGGGGTCCCGAACTGAATAAAAATGAGAAACTGAGCTGATCTCCAGCATTCATTTCTCTCTGCTTCCTGTCTGTGGATGCAATGTGAACAGGCTCCTTAGCTCCTCCCATCACGCATCCACCATGATGACTGTACCCGCAAAGTGTGAGCCAAGATAAACACTTCCTTCTTTAGGGGCTTTGGCCATGTATTTTGTCACAGTGATGAGAACGGTGACTAACACACTATGCACTTTTTACCAGCTGACATTCGGGCTCGTACTGGCAAACACTGGCCATGCTGGCTTGAGATGGACTCACGTTTTCGGATTATCCAGCTTCCATGAACGTCGTGCCCTAGTGTAGGGTTTGAGGATGTTTCTACAAGTTTGTCCTGCTTTCACCTCTTCATGGTATTATGCTTACAAGGCTTCCTCCAGTACCAAGTAATTTAATCCTTCAGAAACAGAATCCTGTGAGTGGGCGGGGCCACCTTTGTGTTACAGTGAAGAGTCTTGGTTTCCCAGTTGTTAGCCTGACAATCTCAAGAACGCCAGTCATGGAGCTTGGTAGTCCAGTATTTCCCAACACTCAAAACTCTAACCGTAGGATGTTACTGCCCACATTGAAGAAAGATCTTCCCTCTTCAGTCAATTTGCTCTAGAAACTCACAGGCCCAAAGGTTTCCCTCATTAATGCCTTAGTTGTTTATCAATCCAGTCAATGGAAATTAGCCATTACAACATTAGAGCCAGCCCAATCCGTGGGTGCCAGATCACCTTTGTAGATGCTATCATACCGTCTGCTTGCACCTCTATCTCTCTTACTTCCTTTGTGGAGTGCAATGCTAGTGGAAACACTTATGTACATGAGAATGCATGCTTATGTAAGAATGTGCATGAGTGTGTTCAGACTACTAGAGGATTTGAAATAGAGAGTATGGTGCTTGTGGCATGCTTCCTTGTACTTACACGAGTGTACACATGTATGCACATACTTGCATGAGCAGGTATGTATATATGTATGTGTGTGCATATGGCAAGATATTGTAGAGGAAACTGTCCCAAAGAAGGCAGAGACTGCTCTGGACAGTTATGCCTGGCTGCCTTTGTCTTCTGTCTGGTGGGTCCCTATACTCCTATCATGGTGAGGCCGTATCTGGCTGCTCAAGGAACAGTTTATTCTTTGGCATCAAGTGAAGAGGAAACTCCTCCTACCTGTCCTCCTCCTCTACTTCAGAAGAAGGCTCAGGATCTTTGCACGTGATGTAGTTGTTGCAACTCAGAGGCTAGAAGAATACATTTGGTTCTCTCTTTTGGTAGAGCCCAATTGGTATTTTCTGGAATGAAAATCTGAAAGCCCTGCCTATGTATAGAGGGCTTTCCATGAGGTATGCTAGGACTGTATCAAGGGAAGCATTCTCTGAAATGACATTTCCTCCCCAGCCCACACCCAGCATAGCCACCAGGGAAGCTGCTGGCCTGGCCTCAGCACTGATCTGCTCAAGGGAGGTCCACAAGCCAGAAACTCTTGGCCCTTTCCCAGCTCATGTGCCTTGGACAGCTTCACTTACCGACTCCTAATAGGAGAGGACAAGGCTTTCTGGTACATTGTTGAGTTTTCTTGCAGTGTGTGTGATCATGAAGCTTATAAGACTTTTTTTTTTTTTTTTAAGGTATGTATTGTTTCTTGGCCAAAGTATTTCAGAACACAGCAGCTAAGACAGGTGGGAGGCTGTGGTGGTCTGAATATGTGAAGAAATATGTGTGAAGGTGAAACAGGGGTGCTCATTGACGTTAAGGGGGGTCTAGCAGTCACCTCAGGGCAGGCCCTGGAGCTGTGCCCATGGTCTGAGTGTGCTGACCCTCTGAGGCATGTGGGGAGTTCTGATGGGAGTGAAAAGGTGGGCATACTTCAGGAAAGAAAGCCAGCTGTAGCTGGGGGCAGTAGCCCCAGGCTTTGCAGCCCGAAGGTTCCAGAAGGCTCTGGTTGGGTGTACATGCCCTTCCCTCAGCCGGCCACGCTTATCTCTGTGTCATTTTGTTTGTAGCCTGTTGTAGTGACTGAAGGGGGCTGACAAGAGACCCACAACCATTTCAATAATGTTGTGTTTTGAACTTTATGTTGTCTGGGTTTTATTGCACTTTATGAAATAATGGTTCTCCTCTAATATGAAGGTCTACTCCTCTGCCTTCTGGTTTAATTGCAGCACACTGTGTCCACTGCTGATGTTTCAGTCTAATTTAACAGGTCACAACACTTTGAGGACAAAACTCTACAAGTTTCATGTCTTTTTGTTTTTTTTTTTCCTAAGTAAAGTTCTAAGTCTTGTTAACTTTTGTGTTTTCTCTTCCAGGCCCTATGGTCCTGTAAATCTTCCGATGTGAAGAGCCCCGGGACTGCTCCTACAGGCCATTGCTTAGTTCCTGACTGTCCTTCACAACCAATCCAAATTCTGTACACCAAGGAGGACCTGGGACAGTGCCATGGCTACTGCAAGTGCCAAATCGCAGGTGTGTGACAGGGTGCAGGTTCCACGTGGAAAGACCTTCCGTGCACGTCCTCTCTGCTCACCTTCCTTCCTGCTCTGCTCACTGAGGCTCCCAGCCTCCTCCCAGGATGCCTGCACCTGGTGTGCACTCTGGAGGTTTCGGCTGTCCCAATCCAATACCCACTCGCAAGCACCTAGGCTTCTGGGGTCTGTAGTCGAATCAACGCCCACGACTCTCCCTTCAGTGTTTACCCACTCATAACTCTGGATGTGGGTTTGTGGAGCACTCGGAGAAAGAAGGTCATGTTTCTGTGCATCCCTCACCATACACAGCTTTTGTCTAAGTGTGCCCATCTCTTCCAGAAAAGGGAGACTCCCCAGGGGCAGGAATCCAGTCCATTGTTTCCTTGTGCCTCCTCTCAGCTTCTGCCAGCTCAAAGGTCCTGATAAGCAGGGCAAGTTGCGCATTTTAATGACCTAGGGCACAAGGCCCTGCCAGGCAGTGAGAACAGCCTGTATCAAGGCGCACATTCATCCTTGGGGCTCGGTCTGCTTGATGAAGCCTTGGCAGCTCATTGCAGTTTCTCAGAGGCCTCTGGTGCTGACCGGAGCACACAGTCCCACGTGGTACTGGGGCTAATGAGCACACATGGTGTTTTATTGGGTGGTCACAGGTCACTTTTGCTTCCATTTGTTTTGGACTGGGAAGGGTGTCAGGACCACACAGAAGCAGGGAGAAGCTCCCATCTTCTGGGAGTCCCCATTATAGACCTCATGGTGCAGACCGCATCAGCAGGAGGAAGGAAAAGGATACAGCTGGGGACAGATATGCCATAATTTGATCTGGAGAAATGGCTTTCTTGGAGCTGTGTTTTGTTTTCCCGAATTAACAGATTCCAGAGGCTGAGGCCACCTAGCATCTAGTGAGTCCTGGGCAGGAAGTGGAAGTTCACATTGCAAAGGTCTTCAGCAGTGGTTGGTTGTTTGGGATGTGTGCTAAAATGTAGGAATTCCCATAAACCCTCCCATCAAAGAGAAGCAGACAGGATGCTTCTTTCAGGTCCAGAGGTTACTTCCCCAGACAATCTTGGCCTTTTCTTCAGTTGTCCTGGTAGCATGTTGTGCCTCTCTGTGATGCGTAGGTCCTGTGAACTCCTCAAGGTCTCCCAGAACATGCGGGGTAAAGATGCCAGGCACCTCTGCCAAAGGGAACTGGGTGCATGGTTGGGCCTCTTTAGGGCACCAGGCCTGTGGGCCCTGAGGCAGGATACAGCAGTCTGTCATTCTTGCAAGATGTCCCTCATGCGCAGTGGGGGAAGCAGGCTCCATACCAGTGTTTTAGAAACGAGGAATCAGTGGGCAGAAAGGTTAATAGGGAGCTGAGTCCAGCACACTGCACCTGTCTCTGGGCATCATCCACTGGGTGAACTGGACCTGCCCTGTACAATCCGGACCTCAGCTGTTAACCCCCAATGGGACTATGGATACAGGACCATTTTGAACCTCTGAGCCTCAGGAGAACCCAGGGGCTTCCTGAAGAGGCCCACGCTTTAACAAGTGAAGACTTTAATTCAGGGGAGTGGATTTGGGAACAGTTCTACGTTCCCTGTGGATTTGCCTGGGGAACAGAGCAATAATTGGTGTAACAGCTGAAGAGAAGATCTGCTGGTCGCATTCCTTCTGCAAACTGCTGGCCACACTGGCTCCATCATACGGTGAAGTCAAGGCCTCAGTCTAGCACTGCTGAGGTGGACTGGGCAGGGGCTATGCCCACCCTGTGCCTGGGCTCTTTCGGCATCTTGGCTTTGGTCTTTGCTTTCACACACTCCCTTCCCAGTGTCCCTCCAACCTTCACTTCTCACCTGATATGCAGCCCAATGCTCTGTTTACTTTGAGTTGGAGCCAAAATGACCTCAGGGGCTGGTGACTCACACTGCTGGCCAGAGAACACAGCCCAGTGACCCTGATGTAAGGCATTCTTATTATCTGAGGGCAGGGCAGGGCCAAGCCAGTCCACTCTCCTCTAGTTACAAACACTCTTTGTGGTTTTGTTTGGACATTTAAAAATAGGCGTGTCCTTTAGTTTAGAGTACTAGAATCCTGAGTGGAGAGAACCCTGCCGCGTCCTTTCTCATATCTCCAGGTTTCCATGCGGTCACTCGGCTCTGACTGTACCGAGTGGAAAACGTAGCCCTCCTGTCCACTCTATCAGCAGCCACACTGGCCTGTCTACTCATTGTCCCCTCTGTGAGCAGATGTCTCAGTCTGCTCACACTGACAATGGTTATGTGGACAGACACTCCCTGGAAAAGAAGGCTCGGGAGATCAGGAGTCTCTGTTTCTCCCTGGCTTCCTCCCAGCATGGGATAGTCACTGCTCTAATGTCCTGAGCTGGCACAGGCAGGGAGACGAGGTGTTCAGGCCCTGTGGGTGTCATTTTCTCCCAGTTCCGTGGCTCAGCCTGTTCCATCCTCTGCTCTACTTTCTTTTCATCTCTTCAACAACAGGGTCAAGGATATGGTATTTTCAGTTCCAGTTCATAGGTGAAGAGGTTGGGTCTCAGAGCCTGGGTAACTTGATCAAGACACATCCCACAGAGTAACCGGAACAAGCCTCACAGACTCCTCAAAGCCCGCTGACTGCTCCAGTCCAAACCTCTGGCTGTTTGCTGCTTGCATAATGAGGGGTCAGCACAGAAGCTGGGCCTTGGCGCTGGGCAGGGCTCACTGCTCACAGTGGGGAGGGGACAGCAGGCTGAGGGAGGGTCAACAGAGCTGTGTGAGTACTCTACCGAGTCAGAGGGCTCAGGCCAAGGAGTAGGCAAAAGGCACCCGAGAAGTACCCGACCAAGAGGTGACTGAGATGTCAGACTGCAGGCCAAGTCGTGAGTGGAAAACATCCAACTCAAAGGCCCTTAAATCCAGAGCTACTTATGCAGAGGCTTGGGTGCACATGCAAGCAGATACACACATGCATGCATTTGTACACACGTGGGCACAGACCTGTGCGTGTGCACACATACACACACATTATTGTTTTTGCAACTATAAAGTATAACAATTAAAAAAAATACATGTAGTCTACATCCTAGGCCCTGGGACAGAGCTCCTGACCCCTAGTCATTTCCTGAGTGATGAGTGGAACATCTTTTGTTCTGATGAAGCAAGCCCCTCCAATACCTTGATCAAGCTGGTTGCCAAGAAAACCAGCCATGGATCTGTAAGTTGGATTCCAGTCCTACCCCATCTCTGGAAAAGGATGGGACTGGAGGTGGAGTTAGTCCCCAGCCCAGTGATGCTGCCCATCACAACTGCATAATGCAACTTCCATTAAAATCTAAAAGACAGATTCCTGAAGCTTTCTAAGGACTGGACAGTGGAAATTTCTGGAGGAGCATGCTCTCTTTGAATGCTGCTGCTTCTCTCATGCCTTGACCTCAACATCTTTTCAATGATATTCTTCATAATATTCTTTTTTTTTTTTCAGAAAGGAGTGAATGTAAGCAAGGACTTCCCTGAGTTTTCCTCTAGCAGATTAATCAAACCCAAGTTGAGGGTGTGGAGACCCCACTTACAGCCTGCCAGTCAGAAGCTCGGGCAAGACCAGGAGCTTTCAACTGGCGCTGAAGTACAGCAGTCTGAGGATGAGGGTTCAGCCTGTGGTTCTGACACTATCTCCAGGTAAGCAGAGTCGGAACTGAGCTGAATCAGAGAACAACATCTGGTGTCAGTGGAGAAGGTGGAACTGCCTGCTGATTGGGTGAATCCACACAGGCAACCACAGAATATGCTGTATGTGAGAGTGAGTGGGGAAAGAGGTATCTGACAGTCACTGACAGGAATTCAGAGTCCATCCGAGTTCATCCTGCAGATCTCCACAGCTGCCACATCCCTCAATTCTGCTAGTCTTGAGATTCTTTTCTCTTCTACAAATTGAGATGACATCACTTGGGGAGACTTTCAAAGCTTCTCTAAGTGATCAGATTTCTCCCCATTATTGCTCATGCTACAACACCTGGAGCAGGGTGTGTGTGTGTGTGTGTGTGTGTGTGTGTGTGTGTGTGTGTGTGAGAGAGAGAGAGAGAGACAGAGAGACAGAGAGACAGAGACAGAGACAGAGACAGAGACAGAGACAGAGACAGAGAGACAGAGGCAGAGACAGACAGAGAGAGAAAGCACCAGGGAGTGAAAAGTGAACCAGTAGCCAAAAAGGGGATGTGACAAGAGTGTTTACATCAATCATGGAAGTCCTTTATGAACTATACTTGTACCAATCACATGGCTCCTTTTGGGCCACAGGGTCCAGGCTCCCCCTGTGGCCGCCTGAAAATGGCTTGTGATAGCAGAAAGGTCCAGTACAAGCTGTTTTATGAAATGGTCATGGCTGGAATGGTGCTGTCTGGAGCTGGAGCAAGCAGCTGGGGTCAAATGCAGCTTCCTTGAGGAATCCCTACAGTGTTCAAAGCAACTGGGCTGCCATGTCAGCAGTCAAGTTGGCTGCTTGGCAGACTGGTCTCTGTTTGGCAGTAGCTGGGGTAGAAGGTCTAATAGCTGTCAGTTAGGGAGTCAAATCACTGGTCTCCAACAACTCAGTATATGTAAAAGGAAAAGAAACATTAATAAGGGTATTTACAACAAAGGCTGGCCATTAACATTACCAAGGCCTAAACTTATTTCTGTGGGTGCCTGTTTTCTATCTTAGAGACCATTGCATTCAAATAAGTCTTAAAGTCAGAAAGACAGACAGACAAAGAGGGAGGGGGAAAGGAGGCCTCGTTCCTGTGAAAAAAGTCCTTTAACCCTGATGGGAAAATACAAAGGTGAGAAAATCATTTTCTGCAAGAAGATGGAGCCGTCGTGAGCCCTTCCCACGCTCAGCTGCTCAGCCAGGCTCGGCTTTGCCAGGGTAGAAGCTCCACTCCTGTTTCCTGTTCAAAGACACAGTGCAAAGGTCTCTTCTGCTTGATGGATTAAAGCGGGCAAGAAAGCAGTTCCTAGACTGCTAAGAGTCGGTGACAGGCAAAGGACCTAAGGGCTCTTAGGAACCAAAGTTTAAGAGAGAGAGTGGAACCAACAAAGCAGTTCTGAGAGAGAACACTTCTCGTCAGTGCCAGAAGCCCTGTCCAGACCCTGACCTGAGACTGAGACTCAAAGACTGTTATCTTATTTATGGTCACTACAGACAAAGGAGCTGGGGCCATGCAGATACAAAACATATGCTCCCCTCAGACAGCCCCACCCGGGAGCTGTCCCCACAGGACAGCAGGGAGGGGGCCCTCAGCACATATGAACCACAGCCAACTGGAGAAAGGAGCACTTTCTCTAACTGCGGAGAGATTGGCAAGGTCACACAAGGCACTTCTGAGTTTTTAGGGTTCAGCCCTCCTCACTGTCTTTTCAAATCTGAGCCTCAGGGAGGAGAAACCAGCTTTTTATGGAGTCATCCAATTTAAGGGTTTTCCTTCAGCCATACAAAGACCCCAAGGCTTTCTAGGGACAGTCAGGGGTGGGGACAGGTGTAGGGTAGCTCAAAGCCCTCTGAGTGTCTGAGATGGGTCAAGGATCTGCTCTCCTGTCCTGTGTACACTCCTGACCCAGGAACCTGGTCTCTGCTGTCATGGGGACCAATCTTACTTTAAGGAAACTTTGCTCTCATGGAAGACACTTGTTAGTCATTTTTCTCATTGCTGCAACAGAATACCCAACAAAATCAACTTCAGGAAGGAAAGGCGACTGTGGCTCACAGCTTAAGGAATGTAGCCCATCATTGCCACGGGAACATGAGGCAGCCGGTCGGTTACAGTGTGTCACAGTGAAGAGGTAGAGAGAGCTGAAGGTTTATGTTCAGCTCCCTTTCTCCTTTTAATGCAGTCCAGGACCCCAGCCCACAGAGCAGTGCCATCCACAGTTAGGGTGGGTCAATCCACCTCAACTAACATACTAGAACAGTCATTCTCAACCTATGGGTTGGGACCCCAAACCACTAGGAAAACATAGATATCTACATTGCAATTCGTAACAGTCGAAAATTACAGTTATGAAGTAGCAATGGAAATAATTTTATGTCTGGGGGTCACCACACCATGAGGAACTGTGTTAAAGGGTCTCAGCGTTAGGAAGGTTGGGAATCACTACTCTAGCAGCTTCCCCATAGAAGTGCCCAGAGATTTGTCTGCTCCGTGATTCTGAATCCTGTCAAGTTGGCTATGAACACTAGCCATCACAGCGTCTGTAGTGGTTTGTCTTGGCAGTCAACTTGATTGTGTTAAGAGGTCCCTAAGACTGGTGAAACATACTCCTGTGTGTGTGTGTGTGTGTGTGTGTGTGTGTGTGTGTGTGTGTGTGTGTGTGATTGTTTCCAGATGATTGATTTGTGGGACAATAATTAGAAATAAAAGAAGACTCTCCCTGGCTGTAGGAAGCACTTTGAACGTATGTCAGTCCTAGGGTGGAAGGAACTTGGAGGATGCTGTGACACCTAGCTGCAAGCTCCTTTCTTATCTGAGCATGTCTGCTGCTCCTGGATTCCCTGCTGCTGCCACCAGACTCCAGCTTCTTCTAGCCTTTCAATCTAGACGCCACACCAGTGGCTCTCCAGGGAGCTTCCGGGACCCCAGCCCTTAAGCACTAGATTAGGACTGCTGAGGCATCCAGCCTCTTAGACTCACAGCTCCCAGGTTCTCAGGCTCTCTAGCATGCACAAAGCCATTGTTGCCCTGCCCAGTCCATACCATGATGCCGATCCAGTGAATCCCCTTTTACAATGTGTACAGACATTCTATAGAAAACTCTTGCTAAGAAAGCACTGTTCTCTACATTTCCCGTAGCTGTTGGGTTCAGCTCAGACCTTAGAATATTTGGCCTCTAATGAGACACAAGGAGACCTTGGCCACCTGGATCAGAGCAGTGAGGCAGTGGAACAAAGAGAGTGGTACCCAGGAGAGGATTCAGGAAACCGCCTCACACAACGCATCTTCTTTGTAGAAACAGAAATAGCCTAAGCGTCAGTTCTTCTGGGTCCTGAGGCCGCTCCACTTTCTTGACAGACCTGTTGTCCTTAAGTCAGTGGTATAACAGGACAGCAGTGCCCTGTCCTGTTCAGGTCGGAGGGCCCGGTGGAAAAGTTACATGCCACAGCTATGACTACCAGAGTTAGAAAGAGCTTTATTAGAAAGAAACCAGGATAGGAGGGAGAGCCAGGCCTGGAGAGACAGAAAGATGGCAGGAGCAGAGCAGAGAGGAAACAGAGAGAGGGGTGGGGGTCCGCGGCCGGCCTTTTTTAAGGCAGGGACTGCATGACCACTCGGCGGGTTCGCCGCCCGCATCCTCCTGATGATGTAAGACGTTAGACCCAAACTGTGAATGTACAGAATCCTAACAGGTAGCCCACAGTTTTTCAGAGATGTGAGGACCCAGCATGTGCTCCCTTTAGCTCACAAAATGAGTTCCTGACATTCCATGTTTCCCAGACAGTTTGTAAATAGACTTCACTTAAATAACACAGAGAACTTCCTATGTAAATGAATCCTCTTGTAATCCCATGAGTTAAGGAGCCCTTCACAGTGTGGAAAATGTGAGCCCGTTTAGTAATGTGGGTTTATCATATTTTCTCAGTGAGCCTGGACACAGCATGCCTGTAAGAATGACAGTGATTATAATGGAGGCGACACTCACCAGCTGCTTCCTGTGCCCTACAATCTGTAGGAGAAGATGTGTCATGCTACATGGGGTGCGGGAAGGTTCAGATGTAAAGAATAAAATTTGCTGGCACCGGGGTCATCTTTTCTGAACTGCATTCTCATTGCATTTGACCAGTAAAACAACATAGTGCATATTGTGACAAACGGAAATAAAGCATGAACTAAAAATCTAAGTAGACATAGCACATTATTTAGAGGGAGTGTTGCATGTTATGTTGGCGGGTGTATGTGCATATGTGTTTATACTCAAGGTTAGGGATGCATATAGAGAGTTAAACATCTTCAAGAGCTTAACAACAATAACAACACTTAAGTAGACATGATTTCCTTAATGAAAGAAAAATTAGCTGGTCATGGTGGTACATGCCTAGAATTGAGTTGGATACAGTAAGAGTAAAAAATCAAGGTCAGCCTGGGTTACAGAGTGAGATTCCATCTCAAAAGAATTTTTAAAAAGGAAAGAATTTTAAACCCTAAAAAATTATTAATCCAAAACTGGGCGGTGGTGGCACACGCCTTCAATCCCAGCACTCGGGAGGCAGAGCCAGGTGGATCTCTGTAAGTTTGAGGCCAGCCTGGGCTACAGAATGAGTTCCAGGAAAGGCGCAAAGCTGCACACAGAAACCCTGTCTCAAAAAACCAAAAAAAAAAAAAAATTAATCCAAATGTCCATGAATAATTATATCTGAGAATAAGAACTAATCCATAGCCAGGCGGTGGCGCACGCCTTTAATCCCAGCAATCAAGAGGCAGAGGCAGGTGGGTTTCCGTGAGTTCGAGGCCAGCCTGTCTACAGAGTGAGTTCTAAGACAGCTGGGGCTGTTACACAGAGAAGCCCTGTCTCAAAAATAAATAAATAAATGAATGAATAATAAATAAATAAGACAAAAAAACTAATTCATGTTCATCTTATTCCTAATTTTTTCTTTTCATAAGAGTAGCATTGGTTGTTTCAAGGAATGGAATTGAAAGGCATTGAAATGCCTTTCTGTTTCTTGACATCTAAGTTACGAACAAAATTATACAATTGCATAATAGCCTAACTTCAAAAGTATTTTCATTGTCTTTTTCTTTTGCAGAACTGAGCATTGAACCCAGGGCCTTGTGCATGCTAGGTAATCACTCACTGCTGAGTCACACACCCAAACCTCTTTTTACTTTTTATTTTGAAGTAAGGTCTCAGTAAGTTATTCAGGCAGGCCTTAAACTTGTCATCCTCCTGCCTCAGCCTCCCAGTAGCCAGAATCACAGCCCTGTACCATCAGGCCTAATCCCAGTGTTCTTTAATTATGTGGGATTCCCACGCTTCTTTAGTTGTATTGGTGGGAGAGATCCTCTCTCCAGTCTCTACTCCGCCTTCCCCTCTCCCTCCATTCCCCTTTCCCTCGTGGCCTTCCAGGCAGTGGGAAGCCTGTTTTGCTTGGAGATGATGCACCAGCCCCAGAGTGAGAGAATGAATGGCCATCTTCAGTGGGGGAGACAAGTTGGGGTCATCTCCCACAGGTACATTCCAGGTCATCAGTGTTCCACAGGGAATGAAAGGGAGCAGGAGAGCTTAGCACAGGTTCTCTTACCAGGTCCTGTTTGGTTAGTATGGTTGTGAGAAGTCTTTTGATCCTGGGTATATGTATGCAGCTGTTCAAGATTGCTGTGGGAGGTTTCCATTCAAGATGGTGGGGACTAATCAGAAAATAAGATGCAAAGTATGAGCCGATTAGCATCAGTATCACCCTACCTTGACTCATGACTTTGAAAGCAATCAGAATAACCACTGCTTTCTGTTTAGCATATATATGGCTTTGCAGACAGTCTGCTCTCCTGTGAACGAGTGCGTCTCTCCATGACATATGTTGCTTCATGCTGAGTGCAAAATAAATCCGGAGCATGAGCTGTCTGATGAGCTGATGGGGCCTTAGCCAGTGAGACACGCAGACTGCCATCACTATAACGTCTTCGCACTAACAGGCCAGTGAGCAGACACACACCGCAGGAAGTTAGAAAGGTGTGTGCTCCGTGTCTGAGATAGAAAACAGAAGCCTCTTGAAGTCAAGTTGTTCGTCCGAGATCACACAGCAAGCAGTGTAGTGGTATTTAAACAACCTGGATCCCCTCTGTCCTGTAAGGCCACTCCAAAAGACTCTCTGCAACGTCAAGACTCTTGAAAGATCGTCCACCCATGTCCAGCCACACCTCCTGCTCTGCAGCTGTGCAGAGGAAGGTCACAGTCAAGTGGAAACCTCCTTTTCTCCTTCCATCTGAGGAAAACTAGAAGTAACTAGATGAACACCATGTGATGACCGTCAAATCAATACTAACTCATGTTTAAGCTCAGGTTTCCATAGCAACCCTCCTGAGCACTTCATCCCTTCCTAAGCAGTGCCCATGACCCAGCATCTCCTACAAAATCCCACCTATGAAAGCTCACCATCTCACAACACCACACCAGAGCCCAAGTCTCCTGCATGCCACCTCCAGGAACACTAGGCTGTGTCCTCCACATCATAGGGCTAAACAACTTCCTTTTTTTTTTAAATGATCATCATCCTAATGGATACAAGATACCAAAGGCTCTTTGTGCATTTTGATTTGCATTTTCCTAATGGTGCCTGGTGTTAAATGTCTTTTCATGTGTTACTGTATTTCTTCTTTGAGCTGTTAACTGGGAGTGTGTACTCTAATTTCCACAGATGTGTGAACTTCCCAGTTCTGTTACTGGTTTCTAGCTTCACTACAGAGAAGACTCTTGGTAGGATATGTATCTTTCAGAATCTACTGGGGTTTTTCTTGTGACCCTTATTGGTGTTATTGGGCAGATCCTCCTGCATATATATTCTATAGCTTTTTTTTAGGTTTCTATGGGGTTGCATTTTCCACCCTAAATGAAAACCTTGTACTGTGAATTTATATCAATCTAACTTCAAGTACATACAAAATCCCAGTTCATGCTACCCTTGGGTGGTACACTGCACAGACCAGCCAGGTCTGGCTGAGGGTTATGTGGTTTACAACTCACTTACTTACTCAGTCAATTGTTCCAAAGCTCGTGGAGAGTTTTGTACTAAACGCCTCTGTGGGGTTGGCTGCTCTTCCCTTCCATCTGAGAGGTTTTGCTTTACTGACTTCACTGGTCAGTTAGATTCCTAGACAGCTTAATTGTCACACCTTCTTGCCAGGCTGAACCTTTTACTGCTTAAATGTCGTTTTTTGTCTCTGGAATCCTTCTCAAACATAAAATCTAAATTCAAAAGGCTTCTTTTAGAAGCTACTTTATCCACACTGCTCTCTTAATTACATGGAATATCTTTTCCCATGCTTTCACTTAAATCTATTTGTGTCCTTGGACCCTCAGTCTTTTGCAGACAGCAAAGACTGTCGTTTTCTATAGACCCTGGGTTTTCTATGCCCTTTGCCAATCTCTGTCATTTGACTGGAGAATTTAGTCTGTTCACATCTCAAGCAACCTGACGAGGATACACTGACTTCTGACGTTCTACTCTTCGTCTCTTGTTTGCCTTGTTGATTTTTTGTTGTCTCTTTTCCTGCATTACAGTGGTATGAGTTTGCTTTTTCTCCTACTGAACCACTTTAGTCCCTTCTCATTTCCATATGCATGTATTCTATAGCTATTTTTGAGGTTTCCATGGGGATTACATTTTACACCCTAAAATGAAATGTGAATTTATACCAACCTGACACCAAATACATATAAAATCCTGGCTCCTGGACAGTTCCTATCGAAACTGTTTAGTTGCTGATGTCTCAAAATTACATGTTTACACATTGAGTGTCCACAAACAGATCTCTTCACGTATTCATCTCCTCAGCCACACAGGAAACAAAAGTGGGCTTACAAACCAGGTTACCAGTTTTTAGCTGCTCCCATTTACCTGCACCGTGAGAATCACCTATGATTCTCTTCATGGCTGCAGGTCTTTGTCTAGTACGCTTTCATTGACCTGAAGGTTTCTTTTCTGCATAGGATTATTATCTGTTTATCCCCAGGGGTCTGTCACCTGGAAAAGGTCTGAGTCCCCCCTCATTTTGGAAGACAGTTTGTAACGGAAGTCTGTGAGAGTGACAGTGTGTGCTGTCCTTGCCTTGGAAGGTGAGAGCTTCATAAATTGAAGCTGGAGTCAAAACCTGGGAGATCAGAGAAGTGAACTCTGGTAGGGATCTGAGTATGGAAGGCAGAGAACCTTCTAGAAGGTCTTGAGGAAGGACAATGTGAGCTCCGGAAGGCAGTAGAGCTATGGAACAGACCCGAGAGCCCTGGACTGTAAAGTTTTGTTCTGGATGGAAGGCCATCTTTCCATCAATAGTGACAGGCCCAGGATGGAGCAGCTGTGAGGAAGCTAAGAAGGCCATCGAAGGAGTCCAAGTGAGGCACTGGTAACAGGACTCTCAACACCTCTCCTCAAGGTTGAAGATCAAGACAGTTGACTAGGGACAGGTATAGTCGTCTCCTGAGCAGGGCATGCCTCATTTTTAGCAGAAGACTCACCTTGTAAATGTCTCTCACTGACTTGTTTTTGCCTTGGGGATCCCCACTGTGAGCTGGACTGTAGGTGTGGGTAGAAGCAAACCAATCCACCTGGCCTCAGTGCCTGATCTCTGCCCATCGCCTACTTGGGCTGCAGATAGGTATGGGCACCCGGGCTCACTCTTCCCTCTGACAACCTCCAACGGCCCAGAAGCCCCTCCTCAGTCCTGGTGTCCTCGGAAGAAAAGGGGTGGGAACCTTGCTTTGCAGTGAAAGGCACCAAGTCAGCGGCACACCTGTGCCCTCTCTAACCCAAACTGCTTATGGTGAAGAGCCAAAGAAAGAGGAGAAGGAAGAGAAAAGGGTGGAATCACTGACTGTGGTCAGATTTGCATTCGCCCCAGGGCAAAGGCTCAGCAGCACCTGGGAGGTGGTCTTGCAAAGGAAACTAAATGTTTAGGGCACCTCATCTCAGTCTCCTGAGTGTGTGTGTGTGTGTGTGTGTGTGTGTGTGTGTGTGTGTGTGGTTGTGGCGGGGGGGGGGGTGAGGGGGGTGTGTGTGTACCAGGTGCTGCTGTTGGGAACAGGCAATAGTTACACTGGCTGATGAGCGAGCACACCCAGCATGACTGGACTCATTGTCTCTGGATGGCATAATTTAATATGGATTGACTCTTTATTTAGCAACTTTTG